AGTTACTGACTAGAAACCCGAGTAGTTGTCCTGAAGGTACCCAAAAACACACTTTGTGGGGTTTAGCTTCCACTGCCATGCTTTTAGATTCTTGAAAGTCTCCTCGAGGTCTTCTATCAATGATCCGGGTTCTTTTGTCTTGATTACTACATCATCAATGTATGCTTCTGCATTTCTTCCGACTTGACTCCCCAAGCAAGTTTGAATTGCTCTTTGATATGTTGCCCCTGCATTTTTTAGTCCAAAAGGCATTGATTTATAGCAATATGCCCCAAAGGGTGTAATGAACGATGTCTTGCTTTGGTCTTCTTCTCTTAAGGATATTTGATGATAGCCTGAATAGCAATCTAGAAAGGATAACAGAGCTGATCCTGCTATCGAGTTGATGATTTGATCAATTCTTGGTGGGACATATGGATCTTTTGAGCAATGTTTGTTGAGGTCTGTGTAGTCGATGCACATCCGTCATTCTTTAGAATTCTTCTTCTCTACTAGGACCGGGTTGGCAAGCCAATCCGGGTTGATTATTTCTCTGATGAATCCTGCTGCCATGAGCTTGGTGATCTCTTTTTTTATTGTTGCTTTTCTGTCTGGAGCGAATCTTCGTAACTTCTGCTTAACGGGTTTGGACCCTTTGTTCACATCAATTATGTGCTCAGCCAACTCCCTTGGGACCCCTAGCATGGCTGCTGGCTTCTAAGCGAAAATATCTTTGTTGTCCCGAAGAAAGTTGGTGAGAGCAAGTTCCTATTTGGGTTCGAGATTTGCACTGATGATTGCTGTCTTCTCCGGATCACCAGTCAGTAGGTCAATAGTCTTGGTAGCGGCTTCTTTTGGTGGTGTGAAGTTGCTTGGCTTCTTAGCCGGTATTTTAATCTCATATGGGTTCATTTCGTTGGCCAGTATTGCAATCTCCTTTCCTTCCTTTATATCTTGTAATCTTTCGGATATTTGTACTGCTTGTACGTCGCAATCATGTGCTTTCTTTAGATCTCCTTTCAAGGATAATACGCCATTTGTTGTTGGCATCTTGAGTAGTAGGTATGGAAAATGTGGTACTGCCATGTATTTTGTTAAAGCTGGTCTCCCAAGTATTGCATGGTAGCATGATTCGAAGTCTGCAACTTCGAACTTGATGAATTCCGTCAGGTATTTGTCTGGTGTGCCAAAGGTGATAGGTAGGGTTATCTGTCCGAGGGGCATAGCTGCTCTACCGGGTACTATTCCGTAGAATGGTGTGCTTGTGGGTGTCATTAGACCTTCACAATCTAGATTCATCCTTTTGAGAGTATCTGCGAAGATTATGTTAAGCCCGACTCCTCCATCGATGAGTACTTTAGTTACTGCTACTCCCACGATAGTCGGACCCAGTACCAGTGGGTAGCACCCTGCGTTTGTTGCACTGGTCCATTGGTCTTCTCTTGTGAAGTGGATGGGGTACTCTGACCAATCTAGATATCTTGGGATGGCTGGTTCAGCTGCCATGATGGCTCTGTGAGCTAGTTTCTCTTGTCTTTTGCTTCGTGTGTTAGGAACACCTGAAAATATTACCGCTAATTGGCGTTGGGGTTCTTGATAATCTCCTTCACTCTCTTCCTCCTTCTTGGATTCTTCTTGCTTTGGCTCCGAGTTGTTTTGATTCTGTTTTCTCTCTTCATGAATTGTCATTGTTGAAAAGTCTTGCATTCAACTAACTTGTGTCTCGCCCCACAGGTGTATGTGACACGGCATGTTTTCTATGTTTTCCGGTGCTCTTCCTCGGTAGTTGTTACTCTGATAGTTGCTATTACTGTTGTAACCGCTGTTACGGTTGTTGCTATTATTGTAGTTGCCATTGTGATTGCTACCATTGATATCATTGCCGTTGCCATTGTATCTTCTTTTGTTGTCTGTGGTTGCCACCATATTGTCCTGCCTTGGTCTTTTGTCTTGCTGTCTGTAATCAGGTCTTCTATTCTATGGGTTGTCCCTAGCAAATCATGCTTGAGAGTTCTTTCTTTTGACGAAATTAGCTTCTCAACAACCCTCTTGAAGTCTTCATTTGTTCTTGGGTTCTCATTGAAATAGTCCTTGTATTGCCAATTTGCCTAGATTCCTTCTGTAAAGGCCTCTATCACCTCCCTATCAGTAATGTCGTGGACTTGAGCCCTAAATTCTCCAAATCTTCTATAGTATTCCCTTAGACTTTCTCCTCTCCTTTGCTTTACTCCTTTCAATTCGGCTGCAGTCATTGGATGGGTAATAATGCCTGCAAAGTTGTTGCAGAAAGCTTCTTGCAAGTCTTCCCAATACCTGATTGACCTTGGCCTCAATTTGTCAAACCATTGTAGCGGCATTGCTTCGAGGGCCATTGGGAAGAATAGAGCCTTGATGTCGTCGTCTCCTCTAGCTAATTCAATAGATTGGGAGTAAACCCTTAGCCATTGTCTTGGTTCGACTTTGCCATCATACTTGGAATGATTTGCTGGTTTAAACTTATGTAGTAGCTTTAAAGTTTGTAGTCTTCTGCGAAACAAGGGAATCTGTCGTATGGTTCCGTTCTTCCGTAATCTGGCGATCTTGCCCTTCTGTAATAAGACCTGTCTTCTTTTAACTCAGACTCTCCGTAGTCATCTTCTTTGTCAAATCTTCTTGATACTTCTTGGTAGCGTTGGCTCAATTCTGGTTTGTCTCTTTCTTGTTGCTTTGAGTAGTGTTCCTTCCATCCATTGATATCAGCACTTTCTACTGGTCCTATCCTTTGAAAATTCATTTTTTTGGGCGGCTACTCCCTTTGTGGCTCCTGTGGAACTTCTTCGCCGGGTTGTTCTTCTGTTCCCCCGACTTCTTTCCTCTGGTCTTCCTTTGCTTTCCCGTTATTTGTGAGGGCATACAACTCCTTTGTTAATTCTTCAATTCTTTCCCTTTTTGTATTTTTTGTGGCTTCTTTTTCCGCCTTCTTTCTGTTGTATTCCGTTAGCTCCGCTTTGTATTTATTCCAGACTTGCTTCCTTTGTTTAGCTTGGTTCCTCCTTCCAGCTTTCAATTTGTTCTTCTTTAGCCTTGCTAGTCTTTGCTCATCATTTTCGTTGCTGTCGCTTTTCTCATATGGCGAGATGTTACCTTCTGATTCATCGGAAGATTTTATATCTGGTATCTGTGATGGTTCCAAAGGTTATTCTAACTGCTCCGCCATGTATACAGTATACCTCTTCCGAGCTCTTCTTGTACGGTATTCCATCCTTCGTTTGGTTGAGCTGTCTGTAGCTTCTGAACTGGATCCGAGTTCTTTTCCCTCTTGATAAGGTAGTTCTTCAACGCGCATGCCAGTCTGGACTTTGCTTGAGGTGAAAGAACCTAGCCAATGCACCACACAATCTTGCGGGGTCACTGTCATGATCATCCCTTCTTGTGCTCTCTCTAGGAGTATTCTTCTTGCTGAGTTCATCTTGTTTTGGGTAAAGTGTTGATAGACTGATGCCGCGTTGCGCAGTCCGTAAGTTCCCAAGTTCTTCTTTGAGTTGTACGGGTCGTATCCCTTCACGATCGTTGTTGTGTCTCCGAGTCCAATTAGGCTTGGCTCTTGTGCCGTGAAGATTGTCTTGGAATCGGGTTGTATCTCTTTTTCAAGAGTCAGTTTCGTATCTGCTTTCTTCCTTATTCTGAGTTGTATCCGAAGTTGAGAGTTTCGTCATCTTCTCGGCGAGTTTGTATTGAACTTCGTCATCGAATTCTTTTTCTTCTCGGAGACGGGTACGAAGCTTGCCGTCGTTGTTAGCCTTACAGATCCAGGATCCGAAGACAAAGGTTGTTCCCGCCGAAAAGGTCATCTTGAGGTTGAGGTCCGCCGAACTCTCGAGAAAAAATTCGTCGAAAGCCCCTACCTGGCGCGCCAGCTGTCGATGTTTTACCACCGATAGCCTGCCACGGGGGTACCCAGGACAGTTGTTCGGGCTTCGGCGAATAGCGGAATTCGGCGATTACGCAAAGAGACTCACGATTTATACTGGTTCAGGCCCTCGACTTGGTCGAGTAATAACCTTACGTCCAGTTTTGGCGTTAGCCTGTTTGCGTTGTATTGCTTTGAGTATCGGGTATGCGTTCTCTCTTACAATGGGTACCCTCACCAGCCCTTTATAGTCCAGGCGCTGAGAGGCGTTGTTTATGTCCTATTCGGATACAAGGTCAGAGTCCTAAGCTACGCTTCGTGCGCCTTTCCTCGTATAGTTTGCGTTGGAGTTTCAGTTTTGCACGTTGCTTTGCTCCGGGTTCTTCTTGGTGATTGGGCTGTAGGCCTTGTTACCAAGGTCTACCTCCCTGCAGTATGGTCCATGGGGGGCCCGTAGGGTTCCCCATCGACAGTTACCACGACAAATTAAACACATCATCTGATCGATGTGTACCCAAGTTTGGCCTATGTATGTTGCCTTCTAAAAATACCTCTGTCGTTGTTCTCAAAACTGGCAAGAGGTGCCCAACCTCTCCGTCAGCCATGGGCTTCGGGCTATAGTTTGCTTCCTGTCATGGAACATGCTCGGGAGCAACTCCTAGAACTTTTCAAACAATGCACTCCATTCATTGGCAGTCAAATATGACAGCTTCACAAAACTTGAGCTAGGAGGCAACATCTCATTGGTGCTCCAACTTGCAGACTGATACTCGCTATGGTAGCCATTATAATAGTTAGTTTTAGCACTCACCCTATTCTTTGGAAAACCATTGCGGCACCTTCTATTTCCACTAAAGCAAAGCCCCATTGGACACACTGATAATTTTGAGGTAGACGGAGTACACTTAGGAACTAGACTGGTGCATGGGTTGGCATCATCTTGACTTGCCTCGTTTTGGCTTCCTCCTCATTGTCCTCGTTTCCCTCAGGTAATCTTGAAAGTGGGTTCCTGAAAGTTCCCCCAATAGACCTATATTTGTTAAAAAATTATGTTTCACATGTAATTGAATCATCAGCTGAGTCAATATCAAACTGGGTGAAGTTTGCATCACTATAATCATCATCTTCTTCTTCAAAGTTTGTTTCTTGTAAAAAGCAATTCTATCTCCTTAACCCAATTCCTTGCTTCCATACACATAACCTCAAGCACGCTTGGCTCCTCTTCTTTTTTGGTAAACTGTCTGCTCATCATGTCCCCTATCTCTGACAAGCAGTGGCCAGAAGTTGCAGCTTCCTTGAGAAATATTGTTGAGAGGACCAACACCCTAAGACTTGCCTCATGAATCGTGGGCAGCTCCATGCGAAGCATTTCAACGTCCTTTATAGGGTCCAAATCTTTGATATACTCTAGTTCTTCTTCAGAGAAAGGAATAGATCCTTGTGGCCAATGAATCCACTCAAAGTAAGGATCTTCCAGACTTTCTAGAAGACAGAGACCATGATCAATGGGAATAAGTTTTGTTTGAGCTTCAAAACGGCTAGATCCATTGTCAAGGTTCCTGACTAGAAGATTGCCACCATGCCTATCAGTGTTAAAGATTCTAATGTCGAGTATGCCAATCCTGTGAATGGAAGAGATAGGTAAGCTCGATGTTCCATGGTCACTAGCATCATAGTCATGTGGAATGAATTGTTGCAACAAGGCAATCTTGCTATGAGCCTGTGATCTATCCCTATTGGTCATGTTGTTACAATTATCTTCATTCACATGAAACACACTATGGTTAACTTTCACTAACATAGTAAGAGGGACTCCTGCAAAATTCTTGTGATCAAGGAGGTATGCAACAACCTCCCAAATCCTATCTCACCAACCCAGTATAGATCTTTTGAGGCTGGGTCGCCCAAGAGTCGTCCCCACAAAACCTTTAGGATTATTTGGAGCACAAGGTTCCTCATCGGTTGGTTTAATAATTGCAACATGTTGCCCCCATATATCCCAAAAATAGTAGGCACCTCCCATTCCCCAATAGCGCCTCTTTGGGTCAACACCATTTGTAATTCCCTTGATGATATCCTTAACCAACTCCTTCATTGCAGCGAAGGGGCTTGAACAACCTAGGATTTCAATAACTTTACTCCGATCATGTTGCTGATATTATTTTCCTTTAGGAGAGAGGCAAGGTGTGGAGCAGCTTCTATGCATGTGATTTCTGGTGAGAAGCAATGGTGAGTCATTTCGAACATAGCTGAGATCATTGTTCAAAACCTGATCACCAAATGTCAGTGAGCTCTCCTCTGTGGGTACATTAAGGGCTAACTGCAGCTTCTTTTTTACCGTGTGTGCATTTTCTCCTGGCTCTAGTTCAATGCCTAGGACAGAACCACTATCAGTTTGAACAAACACGCGCTTGCAGTTAAGGGGTCTCCCCCCCCCCCTTAGTTATTCTCTTTGAGGGGTAATCACTACCCAAGTTGTGATCCAGAACCGCAACAGCCATTTGTGTCTTAAAAGTAGTATTAGTGTTGTGAGGTATAGACTGCTACGAAGAAATTATGGGTGCTAGCAAACACTAGTTGATGAGCTGGCAACAATAGAGAGGGCAAACCAAATTTTCCAACTTATGACAATCAGACAAATTACCAATTACTGATTGATTGGCATGTCGATGTACACATTATGATGTTGTGACATCTAATACTAAGTGCTACTCATTATAGAACTAGATGGCATAGATCCTCGAAACAATAAAAAACAAATTAGATGTCCACAAAATGAGTAAGAAAAGGTACGATCAAATAATTTAGGAGAAAGCTAACAAGATACCCATACGCTCAAACATAGCGAATAACAATGAAATGAAAGTAAATGTAAACCATGGCAGAATTTTAGGGATGGTGACATCCATTTACTATTTTTACAGCTCTACCAGTTAAACGAAAGGATTAGGTAAATTGGGATATCATTTTTCATACAAAATGGTTTAGCTATAGGATTTCAAATTCAGTGCTTCTTTGTTTCCTTACTTCAAACATGATGGTATTATCAAGTATGCTATGATCCCAAAAGCCGAGAAGAAATTAAATAGGAACACACCCCAATGTATTTGCTTAAGCAGAATTGCAACACAAATAATCATAAGTATAAAAAAACTAGTACTAGGTATTCTTTGAAGTCATACAATCCAGAACTTGACACGTGATTGAATGGGTCTAAATTAATTTGCTCCACTTGCATGCTAGCAGTAATTGGTTAATGAGCTATATAACATCTGTGTTGTTTCTCCCAAGTTGTTGATTGATAACAACAGGCATAAGAATCATTTACAAAAAGAACTATAGGCATAACAAGAAAAAATATAGTTTCTCCCAACTTCTAGAAGTATATAAAAAGAACTGAGTCTATCAATTTGTTTGAAGTTGTACACTCCAGATCTCAAATTATGCCATACGATTGAATGGGTCTAGATTAATTTGTTCCACCTACATGCAAGCAATAATCGGCTAATGGACTCTAGCATCTCCATATCTTTTCCTAAGTTCATTGGGAACTATAAGCATAACAATAAAATATATAGCATTTTCCTCAACAAACCCTACTCATTTCATCATAGGCACCCTGAAAATTCCTAGAAAAAAAACAAGAAAAAAGATCTTGATCCGTGCTACTGACAAACATAATAATCTCCTTCATGTCCAGCCAATTTTTTTTGAGGTTTTGTGGTGTATGTAGCTACATATTATCCTTATATAAGAAGCACATCCCAACAAGAGTAAAATAGAGAGGTGGTAGAAGCAGAGATTAAGGGCATGTTTGGTTTTCTTGACATATTTATCACCTCACCTCATCTTGTTAGCCCAGAGAGCCAATTGTCTTGCCTAAAAAAGTGAGAGGAAAACTTACTTGCACAAGAATCGAGATAATCAGCATAGCATCCAAACAACATGTGATGTTCTAACTTCTTTTCAGGCAAGGCTAGGCAAGTTGCAGCAAGACATCCAAACACCCCCTAAAGTCATGGTTGAATCTGCACTGTCTAGCCACAACACATCATTCTTTGCCACCAAATTGGAGCAACGGCAATAATGACACTGAGACCATGAGGGGATTAGAACTCTCCGTTTACACCGTGTTGCGCAGGGGTGGTGACAAGAGGGCAACCTATTCTATCAGGAAGGAGTCCCACTTCCATGGATAGGTGAGGCCTCAATGCTACCAAGCAGATGACCAAGACTAGCCAGGGATGGACTAAACTAATAGCTAGCCATGGTTAACAGAGAGGCAGTGAGACCACCACGGTTAGCGTCCTCTCTCTCTCCCTGCGCGTGCGCGCACGTGCATGTGTGTGCGCGCGCGTGTGGCAATTATTGTTGGAGATGGACGATATTATTTTAGCCATGGCTGAGAATATACTTTGTGTGTTTTTGGACCTGCTGGAGCAATATCTCTACTTTAGTAAAACCTAATCTCCGCATGCAATGCAAGCTTATCTAGAGATCCTCCTATTTTTAGAGCATGTCTCATACCATATTATGTTGTAGAGTTGTTCTTAGTAGTGGGTGCCAATTTGTGACAGAGTCAGTTACGAACGGGGCATGGTAGATAGCGCGCTAATCGCCAAAAGGCAAGGGAACATGACAAGCCGGCCAAGCTCGTAGAACCAAAAAAAGTTCTTGTCTTTGTGATAGACAAGGGTACGACGATGAACCACCCAAACAAATTGAACATAGACTAGAAGTTGGATGCAGACTATCATGGAACCGCCCAAACAAATTTTATGGGGTATTATTGTGTATATAACTATTTATTATCCATATATAAGAAACACATCCCAAAGGAGGTTAGAGGGAGAAAGGGGATATTAAAATCATAGCTAAATATGCATTGCCTAGCTCAAACATCCCTCTTTGCCCCCAATTATAGTAGCAACAACATTGACACCGACAGTAGGGGGATCGGAACTCACTGTTCTAGCCATGTCGTGTTGGGGTGGCGGCGACGAGGGGGCAGCCTATTCCAGCAGACAAGGAGTCCCACTCATATGAACATGCGAGTCCTCGCCGGCGCCGATGAGCAGCCAATCGAGACTGGCCAGTGTTGTCCCCAGTTACTAGCTCAAGTCGCCATCCACACTAGGGACGGGCCAAACTAATAGTTAAACATGGTTAAAAAAGAGAGGCAAAGCAACCACAACCCAGCATCCTCTTATAGCCTACCGCCCGACCACCAAACCCCTCTCTCTCTCTCTCTCATTCTCACGCTTTCGTTCATAGGGCTCTTGCAGATTGGCGATGGACGACATCCTTTTAGCTATGGCTGAGAATAGGCTCTGTGCATTTTTGGATCTGTCTTAGCTCAAAGCAAGATCTTTTCTTTAGTAAAACCTGATCTCTGCATGCAACCGATCTTATCTAAAGATCCTCCTATTTTTAAAGTACTCCTTGGACTCTATTAGAAATGTTCTTAGTAGTGGTTGTTGATTTATGACTCCATCTGTGAGAACGGAGTATGGAAGATAGCACACCGATTGTCGAAACGCGGGAGAACATGATGAGTCTGCCGAGTGCGTAGAACCAAAGAATTTTCTTGGCATAGAAACAAAAAATTATTTTCTTGTCTTTTCGATGGACGAGGGTTGACAATGAATTGCCCAAACAAAGTAAAGGTAGACTAGAAGTTGGATGTAACTATCATGGAACCGGCTAAACAAATTTCTTGTCTTTTGAAGTGATACTTCCTCATGTGTAAATCAACCATGGGTGAGTACTCGCAAGCCTAAGGGAATGGGTATGAAACATACGGAGTTGGCAATGAAGTCTATCGATTTTCATTTGCAAAATAGTTTAAAACTAGGTTTTCTTCATTTGTAGAACAGTTCAAGGCTGATTTTGTTTGACTGAATTGGCACGAGATTATGTCGATTTCTTGGTAGAGAAGAGAGATTTTCATCTTCGCTATTTGGATTTTCTTAAAAAAAAAAAGGAAACATATAATGGTCTCTTGCGCTATAAGGGTCGCCAAACATTTTGCCCATAACATGATTCAGGTGGTGTCTTCTCCTTGATTTTTGCAAAGACTTGTTGGCTCCTGTTATCCACAGTTTTATGAACCCCTCAACTCACAAAATACAGGCGTGTGATCCATGCTCGCTATCCGTTCGAGTACCCCGACGATTTATCTCCACCCATTTTTTGAATTTTAAAAAACTAATTTATTTAAATATATTCGAGAAAGATAAAAATAAAGCTCTCTATTTATTTCATTCATTTAGCATAATCCTTTGTTTACTAAGTAAATCTTATGGAGCTTCTGAAGAACACAGAGTTTGATGTGTATATGATGATGGGAAAAAACTATTTCTCTCTCGTAAAAGGAGGAAAAAACATCTGTCAGCCACACCAGCAGTCCTCTCGATCCGATTCAGCAGGTAGGCAGAGCCACGTGGCAGCCGTCGAGAGCGTGGTGCCTCATCCCCTCTCCGTTTTCCACCCACCACTCATCCACAATTTTTTTTTTGTTTTTTAGCATCAATCAATGGATAGAAACTCATCCACAACATCCCAAATTTGTCTGTTCTGCTTCGCTCGCGGGCGCTCCTCTCCGCTCCTCCGATGGCGCCGCCGCCCACCAGCTCCTCATTCCTCCGCCCGCTACCGCTGCCACACCACCCGCACCCTCGCCTCCATTTCCGCCCTCCCTCCGCCTCCTTCCGCGTCTCCGAAATACTTGGCGGTCGGGGCCTCTGCAACGGCGAGGTCGGCGTCCGCAAAGAACTCGCCTCCGGCTCCTCCGCCTCCCCCACCTCCTCGCCCGCGCCCTCTCCTTCTCCTTCGACAGAGACTCCTCCGCCCCCGGTTGATCTGGACGCGTTCGAGAAGGAGATGATGGGGCTCACAGGCGGCTTCCCCGGCGGCGAGGTCGCCCTCAAGGACTTCGTCGCCAAGAACCCGCCGCCTCCTCGTTCCAAGAAATCAGATTCCCAGCTTGTTGCCCCCCAAGCCACGCTTTCCGCGCCGCCGCGGACGCCGGAGCTGCCGCTGTTCCTGCCGGGCATGGTGGTGCTGGTCAAGAACCCCAACAACGCCTACCACATGTACTGCGGGATCGTGCAGCGCGTCACCGACGGCAAGGTCGCGGTGCTCTTCGAAGGAGGAATCTGGGACAGGCTCATCACCTTCAATCTCGACGAGCTCGAGGGCAGGGAGAAGGGGCCGCCCATGGTGAACCCCAAGTCTGTGGTGCTAGAGGATCTTGTCGCGCAGCTTGAGGAGGACGATGATGATAAGGAGGACGAAGCGGCCAAGAAGAAGAAGGAACCTGAGGGCGCCGCGGCTGCGGCATGACCACGCTTCTTCTTCCTGTTATATCATCCTGTGTGTGTGTGTATGTATGTATGTATGTATGTATGTATGTATACAGCTAAAATAAAATAAAATAAAATGTTTGGGGCTAATTAAAGGGAACGATAATATAGCTCTTATAAGTATATATATAGTTGAAATGTTAGTGTGAATTGGGGACATGGAACAATTGCCATATGCTTGACCACATTGGCCTGGATGACTTCTCCTTGGATTCTTTACCTTGTAATAATCACAATGCTACAAGACTGTTTCAATTTATAGTGAGGAGCTGTGGCATATATATGGATGAAGGCTTGGTAGTTGGTATGCAAAGATGGACAAATATACTTGGATGAGGAATTTAGTTCTGTGGGATCGGTATGTTTTGGTCATATTATGCAGGTAAGTTTTTGTAGCTCTAGTGGTTATCTAGACATTCTGTAGTTTCGTGTTTGTGAGTACAATAAGTAACACTCTTCTCTAACATACATACAAGCTTTTTTTCTTGTGACTGACATACATACAAGCTTTGTACTGTGTGTTTTTGTTCATGTTCTTGGCACGCACAATTATGTTGAATGGTTGAGATTGAAACCCCGCTGTTCTGCATTTTACTGCAGTTTCCCTAACTCTAGTTTCTTGAGCACAATAGGTCCAGGCTTGTTTATATATGTGTGGTCAGGGCCATGAAGCCGGTAGCCACATAGGGTACCGATGTTTTCTTGTGTAGTTTTATTGTAAGATGGTTAATGTCATAATTAAGCAGGCCTTTCTAAAAAAAAAAAGTTTCTCAAAAAATAATTAAGCAGGCCATAGGCTCCTGTGCATTGCTGGATTGCTGCCGCTCTTAATATGCCTTTGGGGGCTTTCTCATCATCTATTGTTTTCTCACTGCCACTCAAGTAATGGTGCTTCTCAGGTATAGTCGTATAGAGTTTGAATGCTTGTGCTATTAATGCCATGTCCAATGTTTTGCTTCTCTGCTTATTAATCCCATGGCCACAGTATTGAAGACAGAATAATACCTGTCATTAGTCAGAAAAAAAGAGAAGGCACATGCCATACTTTGAGGCTTATTTGTCCACTGGTGTTCAAGATAATTTGTGAATGGTTGCTACTATCAAAGTTTCAAAAGAGAATTTTATAAGGAAACTACAGTAGGAGTGCAATGTGTGATTTAAAAGGTTGCAATGTGCTGTAGATGTAAAATGTTTGTAGTGTATCAAAGCTCAAATGTTAATCTTCAGTCGACGGTCCTTTGTTGACATCAAACAGGATACTATAGGGCTCATATTCAACTTGAGCACAGGGCCTCCAATGAGGCCAGTACCGCCCTGTAGGTTGCGCCTCACTTGACCATAGCAGCCTATTTGGATGAATTGAGCTAAAACCCATTTATGAACTGATGAGTCTGGTAGGGCTCTTTGGGTAGTGCTGCGCCACTTAATCCTAGCAATTGCTAACTATGAAACAACTTCAAATTGCTTTGCTACAGTTGTTTCATTTCGGAACAATATTCATAACTTGTTCTCCATCATTTGCATATTTGTTTGCTAAGTTGTCTCGTTATTCTTGTGTTGTATCCATAGCAGTGAGGCTAATGTTCTGAGGAAATTCCAACCTTGGAGTGCCTGGTATCTAACTGGATAATATGTTGCTTTGCACACGTTCTGCTGTTTTAGTGTTCAGGTAATGCTATATTACACCTAACCATTATCTTCCTTTATTACTAATTTATATATATCATTCTATTTTGACAGAAATTTTTCCATCAGATGGAAAATGCAATACTTCAACCAAGTCCAGAGCATTTCCCGAAGTATCAAGAGCAACCAACTGCCATGCCAGACTGTTTCACCCCAAATTTTGCTGATCATCTCCATCGTAGTTTCAGTGGTCCTCAATTGCCGGCAATTCATTGGGCTGCAACACATACAGCTGCTGGCACAAGCAATGGTGTCGTAAAGAAACAAGAACCATGGCCTTTCACGTAGGTACAAGGTTCTCCTGGGACAGGGAAAACTCATACTGTGTGGGGGATGCTAAATGTTATCCATCTTGTTCAGTATCAACATTACTATGCTGCTTTGCTCAAGAAGCTTGCTCCTGAAAGTTACAAGCAAGTTAGTGGTAGCACTAGTACCAGCTCGGAGACTGTTGTGGCAGGGTCAATTGATGAACTATTGCAGAGCATGGATCAGAATCTATTTCGCACTCTTCCCGAGCTTTGCCCTAAGCCTCGGATGCTTGTATGTGCCCCATCAAGTGCTGCAACAGATGAGCTCCTTGCTCGTGTTCTTGACCGTGGTTTTATAGATGGTGAAATGAAGGTATACCGCCCTGATGTTGCCCGTGTTGGAGTTAATTCACAGTCTCGTGCTGCACAAGCTGTTTCAGTTGAAAGGAGGACAGATCAGCTTTTAGTGGGCTGTGATGAAGTAATTGGGTAGCTACATCAGCTGAAAGGCCGTGAGCAGCAGCTATCACAGGAGATTTCCTATCTTCAAACGGAACTCAATATGGTTGCAGCGGCTGGTAGATAGATCCCAGGGTTCAGTAGGGATTGATCCTGATGTTCTTGCTCAAAGGGATCGTAACCATGATATTCTGCTTCAGAAACTTGCTGCATTAGTTGAAAGCAGGGATAAAGTATTGGTGGAGATGTCACAGCTGCTGATATTAGAAAGCAGGTTCTGTCCTGGCATCAACTTCAATTTGGAAGATGCTAGGGCTAGTCTGGAAGCCAGTTTTACCAATGAAGCTGAAATTGTTTTTACAACAGGAATGCTAAAACACACTTACAACCGTGTCAAGTAGCGGGCGTAAGTTATTTTCTCGCCTGACTCATGGCTTTGATATGGTTGTTAGTTTGTTACTGATGAGGCTGCTCAGGAGTCCTCCCTCCATTGGCTCTTTGTGCAGCTAGATGTGTCCTGGTTGGTGATCCACAGCAGCTCCCTGCTACTGTTATTAGCAAAGCAGCTGGAACTTTGCTTTACAGTAGGAGTCTTTTCTAGAGGTTTCAGCAGGCTGGTTGTCCTACCATTTTGTTCTCAATGCAATACAGGATGCATCCCCAGATCCGTGAATTTCCATCAAAATACTTCTATCAAGGTCGCCTTACAGATAGTGAGAGTGTTGTTAAATTACCTGATGTAGCCTATTACAGAGATGCACTTATGGCACCTTATATTTTTTATGACATGTCACATGGCCGTGAGTCTCATAGGGGTGGGGGTGGGTCATCTTCATATCAGAATATTCATGAAGCGCAGTTTGCATTGCGTTTGTATGAGGCTATGGCCTATGAGCACCTTCAGAAGTTCCAGCAGGAGGAGGAGGGCTGCGACTATGGAGGGGGAGGCTGTTGCTTCTACTTCCCCTTTGCAACCCCTCAGTCCAGCCACAGCTTTCATTCTGAAGATGGCAAAGACTCCTAATGGTCTTTTGCCGATTCCTCACATCAGCAAGAGAAGAAAGAAGCCACCCCCCAGTGAAGCTCCGCGCCGCAGCCGGCGGATTGCTGGGTTGGGTGTGGATCAGCCTAAGGCTTGTCCCACACATCTGATGAAGCGTGTGATGCGGGCTCTGGATTTGGATGTAGATGATGAGAAGGGGCAATTGGACCAACAGCTTCTTGAAGACTACGCCCAGCGTTTTCGTCAGCATGTTACACCCTCCCATACAAGGGCGCTGGCTGCTCTCTTTGGATGGGCACCTACAGAGGAGGACTTTGTTGTTGGGCCGGTGGAGTGTGTAGTTTGATTTTACTCTTAGAGTTCCTGGTCGTTCTCTGTTTGTCTCCAAATGAATCCATCACACATCTTATTTTGGAATGTAAGGGGGCTAAATTCTGTAGCAAGAAGAGATGCAGTGCGCGTGCTTGTTGATGTAGCCAGAATTGACATCCTTTGTCTTCAGGAGACAAAGATGAGTGCAATTTCTCGTCAACTTATCTTGTCT